TAGAAAGATGAGAAAGGGTTTTTTAATGGGTAGGGATTAGAAGTTTTGCTTTGGAGACAAAGTTAATTTTTTTAATGACACTTGTTAAAAATCATACACACATACATATGTATATATATATTAAGATGTACTCTGAATATACAAATGCAAACTATTTTTATAAAGCTAAACCAAACTAAGTAATGTCACCCACTCTGCAGAGTACATCCTATGAAACCAGGTTTTTATGGATATGTGAGAATTAATGAACAAAGAGCAAGAATACCAACTTATTAACAATGATTATCTAGGAGTAAGGGGTTTGCTGGGTAATGATCAAGAAGAACTTTCATTCTTAATTCTACATAATGTACTTTTGTTTTCCACTAATGTATTATTCATGAAATAACAAGAATTTTAAGAACTAGTAACCCGTTACAGTAAACTTTTACATATTACACTTTCCTTTAGCCATTAGCAAGAATAACATTCATCCCATTTAAGGTTTCATTAAATTTTATATATTACGAGCACGCAAACACACACATACACAAAAATCTATGTGCAGAAACTATACTATATGATATTAACTAAGTAATTTTCTTAAATAACATCCCTAATTTTTTTAAGGAACATGATACTTTTTCTCCAATGCTGTTTATATTTAATAGGTTATCTTTTTGATTTAGAAGTATCCCTTAACATTCAAGAGAAAGAGTCATCATTGCCAAAATCCCAAATTCGATCAATTAATATTCTACACTACACATTCTATCTTTTCTTAACTAGTTTATTTCCTTTTCCATCCCTTCTTTGGCTTTGATACTGGTTTTTTAATTGGGTTCTTCACTGATGACTGCAGGAATTTTGTCAGAAAAGTTTAGTTTTTAATCTTGTAATGTTTCTTTTTAGTCAAATGTTATATATTAAACTGACTACTTTAAAAGTCAAAAAACAACATCTATAAAATTTGAGAATAACTGTAGAAATATAACTGGGTATGAAATCTTACAAAAATAATAGGAAGTCTTCTTAAATATGGCACCGGAAGTACAAAAGATTCACAGTCAAAGCACAAAATGCAAGTAATTTTGAGCAGTGAGTGACAAATTGAGAAGGTGTTGAAAAGCTATAAAAATAAACAATATCTTGGATATTGTACTCAGAGGTTATGTGTCACAGATTGGTATGGCATTTTGTCATCTATTTAATAATCATGTTTACTCAATTCATTTTATTGCAATGAACAATTTAATAAACAGCTATCAAGTTACAAGAAGATGAGTTTCTTGATTTGGTAAAACATTTAGACCCAGCAATAGGACATTTTGAAAATAAAGCCACAATAACCAGTTAGATTATTCTTGAGAGAAGTATGTGTAGTTTAGGGGCTGGCAGTCAAAATGCAAAAGACAACAAAAATCTGGTTGATAACTTGCTCCTGATTCGATAGTACAATTTCTTTTTACTTAAATGAATTGCTGAACAGATCATAAAGTTCAAAAACTAGGTCTGGCAACTCAGATTTACAGTTTGAAAGCACTGATAGGATTTCCTTAAGATGTCAATGATCAAATAGTTTACTTAATGTCCAAGTAAAATTCAAATTATATAGGTACTTAACTGTAACAATGTTGACTATTTACACTAATCAAGAAGCAACGGGAGAGTACAACACAATCATTGCTCAATAGAAGCATAATTTTTTACTTGATACATACATGAATTAATCAGATTTATTCTTAAAATTGCTTTTTCACCTTTCCACTTTTCACCTATTACTCCAATGTTTTTTCTAAGGCAGAAAAAAAGCCTTTTTTTTAAAAAAAAAGGTTGTAATGACACAGCTAACAAAAGCATTAAAAACACTAATACTTCATTATTAAAAGCTTCAAGTCATTAAAATTATTTAAAACCTGAAATAATAGTGGGTTATATTTGCATTTACCCTAAAATAAATTGTTGGCCTTTATTTCTATTTCTCTATATTTTCAGAGGACTCATCAACATTGTTCTCTGATAATTACAACTGGAATAACCTCAGTTCCGAGCATTTGGCTATGGGAACACCTTTTCTCACATCTTAAAAATACTTCAACATCCATTCGTAATAAAAATTCTCAACAAAATGGGTACAGAGGGCAAGTACCTCAACATAATAAAGCCATATATGACAAACCCACAGCCAACATCATACCTAACAGTGAGAAGCTGAAAGCTTTTCCTTTAAGATCGGGAACAAGACAAGGATGCCCACTCTTCCCACTTTTATTGGACATAGTACTGGAGGTCCTAGCCAAGGCAATCAGACAACACAAAGAAATGAAAGGCATCCAGATTGGTAAGGAAGGAGTCAAACTGTCACTGTCTGCAGATGACATGATATTGTACATAAAAACCCTAAGGAATCCATTCCAAAATTACTAGAACTAATATCTGAATTCAGCAAAGTTGCAGGATACAAAATTAATACACAGAAATCTGTTGTATTCCTACATATTAATGATGAACTAGCAGAAAGAGAAATCAGGAAAACAATTTCATTCACAATTGCATCAAAAAGAATAAAATACCTAAGAATAAACCTAACCAAGGAAGTGAAAGACCTATGTCCTGAAAACTGCAAGACACTCTCCTAAGAGAAATTAAAGAGGACACTAATAAATGGAAATTCATCCCATGCTCTTGGGTAGGAAGAATTAATATTGTCAAAATGGCCATCCTGCCTAAAGCAATCTACAGATTCAATGCAATCCCTATCAAAATACCAAGAGCATTCTTCAACAAACTGGAACAAAAAGTTCTAAAATTCATATGGAACCACAAAAGACCCTGAATAGATACAGCAATCCTGAGAAGGAAGAATAAAGCAGGGGGGTCTCACTTTCCAACTTCAAACTCTACTACAAAGCCACAGTAATCAAGACAATTTGGTACTGGCACAAGAACAGACCTATAGACCAGTGGAACACAATAGAGAGTCCAGATATTAACCCAAGCATATACCATCAATTAATATGCAATAAAGGAGCCAGCCATGGATATACAATGGGGAAATGACAGCCTCTTCAACAACTGGTGTTGGCAAAACTGGACAGCTACATGTAAGAGAATGACACTGGATTACTGTCTAACTCCATATACAAAAGTAAACTTGAAATGGTTCAAAGACCTGAATGTAAGTCATGAAACCATAAAACTCTTGGAAGAAAACATAGGAAAAACTCTCTTGAATATAAACACGAACAACTTCTTCATGAACATATCTCCATGCGCAAGGGAAACAAAAGCAAAAATGAACAAGTGGGACTATATCAAGCGGAAAAGCTTCTGTACAGCAAAGGACACCACCAAGAGAACAAAAAGGCATCCTACAGTATGGGAGAATATAGTCATAAATGACAGATCCGATAAAGGGTTGACATCCAAAATATATAAAGAGCTCACACACTTCAACAAACAAAAAGCAAACAATCCAATTAAAAAATGGGCAGAGGAGATGAACAGACAGTTCTTCAAAGAAGAAATTCAGATGGCCAACAGGCACATGAAAGATGCTTCACATCGCTAATCATCAGAGAAATGCAAATTAAAACCACAAAGAGATATAACCTCACACCAGTTAGGATGGCCACCATCCAAAAGACAAACAACAAATGTTGGCCAGTTTGTAGAGAAAGGGGAACCCTCCTACACTGCTGGTGGGAATGTAAATTAGTTCAACCATTGTGGAAAGCAGTATGGAGTTTCCTCAAAAAACTAAAAATAGAAATACCATTTCACACAGGAATTCCACTTCTAGGAATTTACCCTAAGAATGCAGCACTCCAGTTTGAAAAAGACAGATGCACTCCTATATTTATCGCAGCACTATTTACAACAGCCAAGAAATGGAAGCTACCTAAGTGTCCATCAGTAGATTAATGGATAAAGATGTGGTACATATACACAATAGAATATGATTCAGCCATAAGAAGAAAACAAATACTACCATTTGCAACAACATGGATGGAGCTGGAGGGTATTATGCTCAGTGAAATTAGCCAGGCGGAGAAAGACAAGTATCAAATGATTTTACTCATCTATGTAGTATAAGAACAAAGAAAAAACTGAAGGAACAAAACAGCAGCAGAATCACAGAACCCAAGAATGGACTAACAGTTACCAAAGGGAAAGGGACTGGGGAGGACGGGTGAGAAGGGAGGGATAAGGGGGAAAAGGGGCACTACGATTAGCAGACATAATGTAGCGGGGGGAGGGCATGGGGAAGGCAGTATAGCACAGAGAAGACAAGCAGTGATTCTATAGCATCTTACTACGCTGATGGACAGTGACTGTAATGGGGTATGTGGTGGGGACTTGATAATGGGAGGAATCTAGTAACCACAATATTGCTCATGTAAGTGTTTATCAATGATACCAAAATAAAAAAGAATACTTCTACAAAAAAGGGAAAATAATTATTGAGAATAACTATAAAGAACACATGAATTTGTCATTCCCCAAGAGCCAGAGAGATGTTTTGTTTTGTTTTGTTTTTTTACTAGTTTCAAAGCAGTACAATTTAACTGCCAGGTAAAGCTCAAAGGTCTTTTTTATTGTTGGTCGGACGGTCTTCCCGCTTCTCTTTGTACTCCATTTTAACTTCCACCATCCTCCTCCTAGCCCTCTCACTCTTTCCTCCAGGCCCCGTTTCTTCAAGGTGTCATAATCACGCTCCCGCTCATTAGTAGTCAAACTTTGTCGGAGGCCCCCAAGAGGCCTGCTGGTTGGCACAGCCGCACGCACCTGCCGCCGCGGGAAGAGGCACCTGTGGAGGTGCAGGGCGGGACGCCCGCGGCGCACACCTGCGGCCTTGCCCGGCGTGGGGGCGGGACGCCTGCTCCCGCGCCCGGGCGGTGACTCACCGCCAGGAACCCGGAGCCGGAGGTGAGCAGCCCGGGGCGGGGACCGGGGGCGGGGCCGCCAGGTCCGGCAGGTCCGCCCCGCCCCGCCGCGCGTCCAGGGCGCGCAGTCCTGCTGCGAACTCGCACCGTCGCCGTGTCCGCAGAACTCCCTCGTCGCAGTCCTCCCGACGCGAGCCCGTGCGTCTCAGGCCTCCTGTCGCCCGGCCGGCCAGGAGCTCCCGGCGCTCCAGTTCCTCCGCGCGCCCTCCTGCGAACCCCCGGCCCGTCTCGCGCCCCTTCCTCGGCTTGCGCGCAGCATGGCGCCCCTGCAGGCCCTCGCGTTCGGGCTCCTGCTTGCGGCGGCGACGGCAGCGGTGGCCGCGGCTCAGAAAGGTGAGGAGCGGTGTTGTGGGGTTGGACGGACCGGGCCAGAGGTGGCGCCCTCTGCGCCTGAGGCGGGAGTCTGGAGAAGGACCGTCGGCGCGGGCCTGTCCTAGCCCAGGCCCTCTGCTTTTCGGAAGGACCAGCCTCGCTTTGCTGGCTTTGCACTCGAGGGAAATGGCCCTGGGCAGGGGCTGAGGGGCAGGCAAGGTAACGAGTGGCCACGTCAGGGGATTTTTCGACTTCTGTGCGGGTTGGGTTGAGGCAGCGCGGCGGCAGCTCGGCTCGCGCCTCACATCTGGCGCGCCCACCTCCTCCAGCCTGGACACACTTCGGTCCTGGCGTGGCGGCGACCAGCCTGGGCCTGCAGGAAGTCTGCGACTCCGACCTGCCGGCCCTCCCCTCCCGGGGCACCTGCGGCGGCCCAGGATGTGGGTCTAGGGCGGAATCAGGTGGCTGCCGGGAGGCCGTCGGGACCGCTACGCACCTGCGCGCGGGAGCAGGGCGTCCTGGGCCTTGACTTTGAGGCTTGTGGGTGTTTAAGCTTTTTTTTAAGAATCTTAGTATTGTCAAATTTATTGTAAGAACGCAGAAATATCGTTAACAGTAAGCACTTAAGAAACAAACGTAATAGCACTGCTTCAAGAGAAGCCCATAATTAGTAACTGGGATATATTAAATTTCTGTTTTGTATAATTATATTTTTCTTTTAGACATTGTGCTAAACATAGCCCTAAAACCTGAACACATAGTTCTGTGTCTTGATTCCCCCTCCCACCTCAACATCCAGAGTTTTCCATTTCCTTTAGTCTTGAAAAACACTATTTGAATGATGGCGGAACAATCTATGGTGCAAAGTTCTATTCATTATCCAAATGTTGGATATGTGACTTGATAGCAGTTTTTCTTACTCTGGAATGAACATCTTGCCTGCCATCTCTTGATTTATCTGTAAGATGGCTAGAAATAAAGTGGCAATTGGCCAAAGCTTTCTGGCTCCACCAATACGGCACGGCTTAATTCATTACTTTAAAAATAATGCTGTGTAATCAACTCACGCTTTTCTAGCTTCAGTTTTAAGCTAAATACTTTAATTTCTTTAAAGTGATGAGAGTTTTGTAGGTGTATGTTCAGAAAGTATCTGATTGATCTGTTTAAATTTCACATGGATTGGGCATGAGAAATGTGCTTTGAACAGGTACAGTATAGTGCTGAATAAGATTTTAAATCCTTCAGGGCAGCTACTATACTTTCTCTTTTTTTGTGACCCCCCAATACTGAGTTTACTGCTGGACGTATTATATACGTGGTTCATGTCTGATTATAATTTAAGCAGAAAAAAAATTAAAGCCAACATTGAGATAATGAAGGATCAATATAAAAATTCTTTGATTTGTCATAATAGTTTTTGTTTTTTTAGTGATTGCACTCTTAGCTACACAAAAAGATTTAGATGGGCTTGCCAATTTGAAATTAAAATGAACTTTTGAGAGTCAAAGATAAAACTTATCAAACTGACCAGTGCCCATCAAGCAGAATGGGCTGCTTAATATCACTTTAAAAACCAGGTATGAAGATTTCAGTTAGTTAGGAAACAAAGGGGTGCCCCCAAACACAACTGAAAGTATAGTTTTTCTAAGATACAAAATTGTCCAAGGGTTGAATATGTTCCCATTAAGCCCCCAAACAAGTACTTTTATTGAAATGGAGTGGGAGAAGGAAAGGAATGTGAGTTACAGATCCTTAAATTGGAATTGTTGATTTTTGGCAAGAGAGTCCTGACCAACAGGCAAGGGTTTATCTAGCTGGACATGGGGAGGGAAGGAGCTGAGAGTGGGTGTATCCTAAAGGCAAAGTGGAATATGGTGTTTGTAGGACTGTGTTCTTGGTTTTAAAAAATCAGAATGGGAATGCATGCATATTAGACTGTGTTTATATAACATATGCAAACTATTTAGCCTAGTATCAGCTGCTCAAATTATAGCTGAAAAATAAAACATCCAAGACTACTTTTTAAAGCTTTGTGTCCCTGTAATTCTTTTTGTGTCCTTGGCATTATGGTCAACATAGTTTTAGCTGGGACACCAAGAGTTGGTAGTTGGGTCCATATTTTAAGTGAATTAAAAAAAATTTTTTTCTAGGATGTATCTGTGAAAACTACAAACTGACCACAAACTGCTCTCTGAATGCACATGGCCAGTGCGAGTGTATTTCAATTGGCACACATCATTCCGTCATTTGCTCAAACCGTGAGTAGAATGTCCTCATTGCCTTTAAATTTTATTTTGACTTATACTTCTTTAATTGATGTGTCTTGACTTGGGAAGCATTTTATTGGTTCAAATCTTAGCCATGTTATTTTGTCAGAATAGTTGAAGCTTCTTACATCTTTGAAAGTGAATGTAGGAACATGTAAGTCTACAATAATCTTTGGCCCTGGGAGTTTACACTTGAATTAAAATATTTTCCTTAAGCATAAAATGCAGTTATTTTTCAATTTGACATTAAGCTTTCTTTTCAGTGGCTACCAAATGTTTGGTGATGAAGGCAGAAATGACTGGCTCAAAGTCTGGGAGAAGAGCAAAACCTGACGGGGCTCTGCAGAATAATGACGGGCTCTATAATCCTGACTGTGATGAGAAGGGGCTCTTTAAAGCCAAGCAATGCAATGGCACCGCCACGTGCTGGTGTGTGAACACTGCTGGGGTCAGGAGAACTGATAAAGACACTGAAATATCCTGCTCTGAACGAGTGAGGACCTTGTGAGTAGGGCTGTCTGTATTATTCATTTTCTTTTTTTTTATTATCAAGGTATTGATATACACTCTTATGAAGGTTTCACATGAATGTATTATTCATTTTCATGCTTTTTAGATTCGTTACATTTATTTTTGAACACATGATATGATTTCATGGTTTAGGGTTCAAGAGATAGAAAAGAGTGTACAGTGAAAAGCCTCCATCCCATCTCCATCCCTGAGCTACCCGATAGCTCCTTAGAAATGATGTCACCATAACCTTCCAGAGATTTTATGAATTTACTAGCAATATGATTTTTCTTATTCTTTTTCTCTGTTCTTATGATAGCATTCTAAACATAAGTTTCCTTTTGTATTTTTACTTAACACTGTTCACTATTGTAAGGTTAGATGAGTGTTACATGTATATGAATAACTTATTTAACATTGTAAAGTGAGCTAGGGTTGTCTTAGGGATTACATAGTGAAAAGAAATGGAAACATACTCAAGCTAGCTTAAGCAAAAAGGAGGTCATTGGAAGGGACGAGAAGCTGGATAGTTACCAAGACCAAGGCAGGCATTCTGTTTCTGTCTTCTGGAGCCTGTGGTCACTTTTCTCTGTTTCTCTTAGTGCCTTTTTGTCTCTTCACTTGAAAGTGGCCCAACATGACAGCTAAGCTTTGATTTTATATGACCTTGAGTGCTGTGGCCAGGGGGTCAGTGTTAACGTTAGAAAGGGTGTTCCTTCCTGGATAAGTTCTTTATGAACAATGTTTATGAGGTCCAAGGAAAAAATAAAGCCATACCTATTGCATAAATCCTTTTTCTGTTAATTCTACTTGGGAATTTTTAGTATTGGCTTATTAGGAGAATAGTATAAAAGACAGAGTTGTTATAGTCAGTACTGTTTTTTCACTTTACAGCTGGATCATCATTGAACTAAAACACAAAGCAAGAGAACAACCTTACGATGTTCAAAGTTTGCAGACGTAAGTACTATTTAAATACATTATATTTGCATAGTTGGTACTCAGATCTTTCTTCCTACCCCATTAGAAAAGTTAAAACAAGTCTGTTTTCTCAAAGTTCTAAAAAATAACTGTATTTTTAACCTTATTTTGAAATGGAGTTGCAAGAATAGTACAGATTGCTATGGTACCCTTCACTCAGAATCACCAATGAACATTTTGCCACATTTTCTTTTTATATCTGCATGTGTTTGTACTTTCTACATCTATCTAAGCATATATAAATATTTTTTCCCAGAACCATTTGAGAGCAAGTTGTGGACTTCGTCATGCCCCTTTACTGCTAAATACTTTAGCATCTTTTCCTGGAAACAAAAGGCATTCTCTTAGATAACCAGTGTACAGTTATCAAATTCAGGAAATTTAATGTTACACCATATTGTGCCAATTTTCCCAATGTTGTCCTTTGTAGAAGTTTTTTGCCCTCTGACCCAGGATGCAATCTAAGATCATTCATTGCATTTAGTTGTTATGACTATTTAGTCTTTAACATGGAACATTGTGTTGGCCTTTCTTTGTCTATCACGACATGAGTATGGGCAAGTCATCTTATAGAATGTCCTTCAAATCTGGATTTGTCTCTTTCCTCATAATTAAATACAGGTTGTACATTTTTGACAGAAAAACTTCCTAAGTAATCTTGAGTCTTTCACATCAGGAGGCACGTGATGTCAGCTTCTCTGTTTACTAGTGATGTTAACTAGTAGTTAAGGTGGTGCCCACCAGTTTCCACCAGAGCTTTACTCTTTTCCTCTTTGGAATTACTAAATATAATCTTGGGGCAGATACTTGGATACTGTGTAAATATCCTATTTTTAATCAAACTAGAACTCAGTAGTTTGAGGATTAATGGATGATTCTAGCCTGAATCAGTTATGATAGTTATAAAATGACATAAATGTTTTAACAGCTTAGTTAACAACAGTTCCAGACCTTGAGCTATTTGCTTAATTAAAAAGTAGTGTTTCTTACAACTGTATAGTATAAACACTTTTTTGAAACACAGATTTTTAATTTTTTACAGTGCTCTCAAGGAGGCAATCACGACCCGTTATCTACTAGATCCAAAATACATTGTAAATATAATGGTAAGATTTTTTTTAGTAATGAGCTTTTGCAGAAAGTTGGTGGACCAGTTTGGTTTGGGTATTGATTTTTGGTAGTGGTTAAACTACATTTGAAACAGTTCAAGCCCTGTGCACTTAAGCAAGTTCCCTGTTGTTTTCTTTCCGTTGCCTTTGAAAACTTTGGTTTACCCTAAAGAAAATGTAGTCTCCCTTAGTATCTCTAACTCTCATCAGTCTTCTTACCCTGGAAAACCTCTGTGATTACTTTAGGCACAGACTTACTCTAGGATGGTGGTACCTAGCTCCTGTCTTCTCTGGTTGAAGGAGTTAGTCCTTAACCAGTTAGCCCTTCCTTAACTCTTTCAACTCCCGTTGAAAAATGTGTGAGTTGTGTGGTATAGCTCTTTTAAGGCCAAACATTGATACTACATTTTTTTTTTTTTTTGAGAGGGCATCTCTTATATTTATTGATCGAATGGTTGTTAACAACAATAAAATTCAGTATAGGGGGGTCAATGCTCAATGTATAATCATTAATCCATCTCAAGTCTAATTCTCGTCAGTCTCCAATCTTCTGAAGCATAACGAACAAGTTCTTACTTGGTGAACGAATTCTTACATAGTGAATAAATTCTTACATGGTGAACAGTACAAGGGCATTCATCACAGAAACTTTCGGTTTTGATCACGCATTATGACATAAACAATTAGGTCAAATATGAATATTCGTTTGATTTTTGTGCTTGATTTATATGTTGATCCCACATTTCTCCTATTATTATTATTATTTTTATTTTTAATAAAATGCTGAAGTGGTAGGTAGATGCAAGATAAAGGTAGAAAACATAGTTTAGTGCTGTAAGA